GTCGATTTGTAGCTTCACTAAGAGCAGACTGATTGAGGGCGATCGTTGGTGGAGCTAGGTTTGGAAATTGTTAGCACATCTCAAAAATACAGTGGCGTCATCATCACAGGCAAAGTCCCCTTCAACATTTCGATCCTTGCTTCCTTGCAATTGGGCATTTCACACTCATCACACATCTCCAATTCGGATACAGATTGTTCATGCAGCTGCGGGCGATACTTTGTGCATGAATGGTAGAAAAGATTTGAGAGTTGATGTACTTTTGAATTCGCCTCCCTCCGAATGCCACTTTAGACCCTAGCAGATCCCCGGTTCCTGATATAATACACAATTACATGTCGCAAATTAGATGCGACTCATTCTTTATTGGGCAAGAGTCTTCTCCTGCGCGGGGAGGAGCTTCGATTGCTGTCCCGCAAAGAACTTCTTCGACTCCAAGCATCGCTCGCTCTTGCAGCCAGGGCACCGCAACTCCATCTGCGGCGAGCAGGCTACACTGCTGTCGAGATGAGCCTTGGCAATGTCGGCAAGAGCCTTGATGAATACGGGGCTGCCGTTCAAACTCTCCACTCTCTTGACCGTCTCCGGGCTTCCAGAGTCAGCGATGACTTCAAGGTCCAGCTCGAACAAAGTCTCGATGTGGTCTGATGTGAAGGCAATGGGAATCAACACAAGGTCCTTCTGGCCCTTGTGGACGTAGTTCTCAACCGAGTCGGAGGTCTGGGGTCCTAGCCAGGCTGACGGGCCGACCTGGGACTGCCAGCAGAGGCGGTAGGGGTTGGAGAACTTGAGGCGCTGCATGACAGCGTACACGGTCGCGGCAACTTCGGCCGGGTAAGGGTCGCCCCTATTGACCACAGACATGGGCAAGCTGTGGGCGGAGAAGATCAGGACGGCGTCCTTGCGTCTTTCCTCGGGGTATTCCAACAACTTCGCCTCAATGTTCTGTGCAAACGCCTCAACCAGGCCCGGGTGTACCGGCCAGCGATCGATCACACTCCATGAAATGGTACCGTCGCCGGGTGTCGTCTCTCCGACGGCCTTGCCCTCCAGCCTTTGCCTCCACTTCCACAACTCGTTGATGCTGCTTCCTGTCGTTGAGCACGAGTACTGGGGGTATTGTGTGAATGCAACCGCTCTTCCGCCTCTTCCCTTTCCAAAGCCATCCTCGAAAAGCTTGTTGTACATCTCCTCGGTCAGAGGGTCGGCGTAGCGGAAAGCTGTATACGGCTTGTGTGGCGCTGTCTCGGGTGAGATCTCATCGAGAATCTTGCACATCTCGGCGTTCTGATACTCAGACCACTTGCGAATAGGTGAGCCGCCACCAATATCGGCGTATTGCTTCTGGATCTTGGGAGTCCGTCGCTTCGAAATCAGGGGACCGAGGTAGTTCTGGAAACGGCCAAGGGGAATCAAGTCGCCATCTGCCTGCGCATCGTTAGCTTGCGTCGCAAAATGTAGAATGACGATAGACCTACAAAGAGCCTGCTCAGAAAGTCTCCCACTTCGTCCGTCGTTGAAGGGCCACCCATGTTCATGAATACCATCGCCGTCGGTCCCTTGGATCCAGCAGAGTTTTGCGTCACAGGTGGTACGACCGTCGCCATTGATCTAAGCTGTGCAGCCGACTGCTTCGGCAGTGCCATGGTGAGAGGCGATGAGGCATTGCGCGCAGATGTCGTCGCCTTGGACAAGCTCCGCGAGAGCTGTCCTGTAGAGTACTTGAACGCCATTAGATCGTAACAATGGTTGATGTGAATACACGACAAGGAAAGAATGCAGTGCGAAGGAAAAACGTGGTTAATGTTCAAGTGGCTCTAGATTCTCGCACTTGTGGCAATCCGCGAACCCCGGTGATGCGTCGATGCTGGGCGACACTTTGAGGAATTCGGGCTTCGATGACGAAGGAAATCCCGATCTGGACAGCAGCCCACCGAGCACCGAGCAGGACCCTTGTGAGGCCGAGAAGATACCTCGATACTTACAGAATCCCCTGTTCTGGCCCTGAAACAACTGGTGCCTGGGTACTCCCCTAACCCGCAGTCGAATTGGCCAATTAGACACTGCGTAATCCAGAATCACGGCAATTACGGTCACGTGGTCGCGCGCTGTGACCAGGAGCTCCTGCGAGCTTAGCGCGAGCTTCCAGCTGCGCGAAGGCCCCAGTCGCGTTGGCTGCCTGGAGCGACGCCTGGTAGCTAACCTGCAAGTGCTTGCTATATCCATCCGCTTCACAACCAGCGCAGCGAAACACATTCCATCTTCTCTTCGTACACATTTTGAGTGAACTTTCAAAGATGGCTGATCGCGGACACTTCAAAAGAGAGGATGAGGATGAGGATGATGCTGAGGAGGAGCTTGATGAGACCGTAAGTCCTATGCACTGTGGATCATGACTTATAACTGACCTGTCGCAGGACTTCAAGGCTCAAAAAGATGCCATTTTGCTCGCCATTGACGTGAGCTCATCAATGCTGCAGCATCCGCCCGCAACAAACTCCAAGAAGGCCGATAGGGACAGTGCCGTCGAGGCAGCTTTGAAATGCGCCTACCATCTTATGCAGCAGCGCATTATCTCTAACCCCAAAGACATGATGGGCATTCTCTTCTTCGGCACGGAAAAGTCAAAGTTTCAAGAAGAAAGCGGTCGAGCAGGCTTGGGCTACCCGCACTGCTACTTGTTCGCAGACCTCGACGTTCCCGCTGCTGAAGATGTCAAGGCACTAAAGACCTTGGTCGGCGCGGATGGAGAAGAGGCCGAAGATGAAGATGAGGTGCTAGTGCCGGCGGAGGAAGAAGTCCAGATGGCCAACGTCTTTTTCTGCGCAAACCAAATCTTCACTACTAAGGCGGCGAACTTTGGCAGCAGACGACTCTTCATCATCACAGACAATGATGACCCACACGGCAAGAACAAGGATGCCAAATCGGCTGCGGCTGTCCGTGCAAAAGACTTGTACGATCTTGGAGTTGTGATCGAGCTTTTCCCCATTACCAGAGACGAGAGGAAGTTCGACCTCGGCAAATTTTACGATGTAAGTACTGAGCCGTTCGATTGGAGTGGGCAGAAAGCTGACCGTGCAGGACATCATCTATCGAGACCTAGTTGCAGAGGCCAATCTCTCCGAAACCAGAAACTCAAAGTCCGGCGATGGCCTCAGTCTCCTCAACTCATTAATATCAAATATCAACTCCAAAGAAACGCCCAAGCGCTCCCTATTCTCTAACCTCCCCTTCGAGATCGCCCCTGGACTCAAAATCTCGGTCAAGGGATACAATATTCTTCACCGTCAGACCCCAGCAAGAACATCATACATCTGGCTAGACGGCGAGAAACCTCAGCTCGCCAACGGCGAAACGACACGGATCGCCGAGGATAGTGCCCGGACGGTTGAAAAGGTCGAGTTCAAGAAGGCTTACAAATTTGGCGGCGAATACGTGCACTTTGCACCAGAGGAGCAGAAGTCTCTCAAAGACTTCGGTTCCCCCATCATTCGCATTATCGGTTTCAAGCCGCGCTCTATGCTTCCCTTTTGGGCGAGTATCAAGAAATCAACATTCATCTTCCCATCAGAGGAGGACTATGTCGGCTCGACTCGTGTCTTCAGTGCTCTTTGGCAAAAGCTGCTAAAAGACAAGAAGATCGGCATCGCATGGGCTGTCACCCGTGTCAACGCTAGCCCAATTCTCGTCGCCATCATCCCTTCCCATGAGAAGTCTGAAGACGATTCAGGAACGCCCTATCTGCCCGCCGGTCTTTGGCTCTACCCGCTTCCTTTCGCTGACGACCTACGCGAAGGCCCCGAGCCCCCAAGTAATCACGTCGTAAGTTCCAACGAACTCATTGATAAGATGCGCATCATCGTTCAGCAACTTCAGCTGCCCAAGGCCATGTATAATCCCAAGAAGTACCCCAACCCATCGCTTCAGTGGCACTACAAGATTCTCCAGGTCTTGGCTCTCGAGGAGGAGTACCCTGAAAAGGCGGAAGATCTCACAGAGCCGAAATACAAGGCCATCAGCAAGCGCGCCGGTGGATACCTGGATGACTGGGCCGAGACCCTACAGGACGAGACCAAGATAGCGTTAGCAAAGGCAGCCATCAAGCGCGAGGCGGACGGCGGCGACGACGAAAGACCGGCCAAGAGAGTCAAGGCCGCACCGAAGGCTGCAAAGGTTTCAGGGTCTGGTATGACGACGGCGCAGCTCAAGGAATCTGTGGCCAGTGGTGCGTTGAACAAGATGCTGGTTGCCGATCTGAAAGACATTCTTGCGGCAAGGGGACAGAGCACAGCGGGCAAGAAGAGTGAGCTAGTGGAGAGGATTGAGGAATGGGTCGAAGAAAATGCTTAATGCCACTGGGGCATGACGACTTTGCGATGAAACTGTATTATACCACTTGATGCCGAGATAAAAGGCTTATTGAAGGAAGATTTCAACTTCAAGTGCCCGTCACACAAGTATGCCATATTCGTCGCCCTTCAGGCAGGCGGAGCTATTGATGCCTCCTCGTCCTCGTCTTTCCGCTTCTCAGGTTGCCTGCGGGAAGCGCTGAGCCCACCATCCTACAAGGTGGTGGCTTGATCATTCGTCCTACGTTACGCCGTCACCCGAGAGGCAGACAGCTTCGTACAAGTGTCCAGCCATTAGCAAAGACGGACGTCACAACATATCGCCAGGTCTCAGCCAGCCAGACCTGAATCCTACAGAAGGAGTCCAGGCTTACGAGGTAACAGCCAATATACACTCTGTTCCGATCCGCGTCATGCTTGTAGTATGGCGTGATGGGCTTTGATGGCTGTGTCGCGGTAGTTGAGTTCAGCTTGTGACATGGTCTTCAGTCTGCCTTGTTGGCTTCTTCTTTGCCAACTTGATGAGATGTGTGTCTCGACCGAGGACACAGCTTGCGTCTTTCATCAATCACTTAAAGAAAGCTCCACGGAATTTGAGCCTTTTTAGACACTGTTTTGCACAGCTTGAACTCTGATAGCAAAGAAGAAATGTCATCTCCACGAACCAGCGAGCAGACGACCATTGACGCACCTGAGGAAACCCGACACGAACCTCCACCAGGTTCAGGGAGAGCTGAGTCGAAGCTTTTACAGTGGCCACCAAAAAGACTCAAGAGTGGACTGTCTAAACCCTCAGAAATTCTACTCAGTCTGCTTTCCTTCCTTCTGGTAGCTGTTATGGTTACATACATTGCGATTCTACTTTTGAACAATGGACAAGACATTGAAGCCCTGTCACAGACTTGGACGTTTGCACGCGAATTTTCCCGACTTGTAAGATGATTTACTGGCTCATTGTGTCCGTTTATTGTACTGATTTTTCGCTTAGGGCCCGACGGTTGTGCCCTTGATGTTTACTTACATTGTCGGTAGGGCCGTCAGGAGCTGTGCCCATTGGAGGTTGCAAAAAGGGGAGCGTATCGGGGCCTTAGACAGCCTCTTAGGATCAACGACGCTGACAGGCACGATCACTACCATGGCTGATCTTAGAAAAGTCGAAATTTTGGGGTTTACACTACTGATGGTTTGGTCACTATCGCCGCTGGGAGGACAGGCAACGCTCCGAGTTCTGACTCCGCGAACCGAGGAAATCTCGTCTCTTGTGACGCTACCATACCTCGACCATGATGTTGGGTACCCCGAAAGGTTTGCTTCAACAGTGCTATCAGGCCAACAGATCCCCATCAACGCGTTGGTCTTGAGTTCTCTTGGAGCCACAGATGCAGTGAAAAGGTCAAAAGTAGATACGTGGGGCAACATCAAGATTCCCATGATCGAGTCATTTTCAGTTCATTCTCTGCTTGAAAGCAATGAGTGGATTCATCTGGATCAGTATCAGGACGAGGTGGTGTATTCCGCTCTGCTCGGTATTCCTGTTGCCAATATTCCCCAGAGGCATAGGTCCAACTTCACTCTCGAGACATCGTACGTAAAGTTAGATTGCACCGATCTACGCAACTTGACAGGCAATGCATCTATGGAAATAAACAATTGGCGTGAGGGATGCGGGAACGGGCGGTGTCAGCGCAATTTCAAATGGGGTGGACTTGCTACTGTCCCTAATCAGCAAGGAATGCAGAACTCGACTCACGACAAGCGATGCTCCGACCCTCGAATCGCAGCCAGAGAAATGCTTTATTGGAACTGGGAGTTGTCAGAATACTATGGCTCCACATTTACAAGTTGTTCCATGACCACGTCGTTCGTTGACGTTCGTGTCTCGTGCTTGGGCTGGGATTGCGAGGCAACGGCAATACGGCCAACAATGCTGGCATTAGGTGACAGTCGGAGAGCGAACGTGACCTTCTTCGACGATTGTCCCCAAGAACACGCCACCATATGGTCCTGGTTCTTTCGATACTTCGCAACTTTGGCTGATAGCGGTGGTGGCGGTGTGCATTCGACCACTATCATTCAGTCGTACTTGGTTGATCCCAAGTTGGGATTGAACGCCACGGCGGCTTTCCGCCTCCCGCCAATTTTCACAGTAGAGAAGAAGCTATTCTCTATCCGCCTGGGTCAGCTTCTTAACACCTACTGGTGGGCCATGATAGGCAGTGAGCCACTCTTCTTGGGCCATCCTGAGAATTACGACGGCGTAACGGTATGGCCTAATCAAAGCAGTCTTTGGGGGGCCGCTACAAACGACAACTACGTCTTCTCAAAAGCACAAGCCACCGTTTACATTAGTTTACAAGTACTTCGATACAATAAGGTCTGGATGGCCGTTCTCGTCGTAGCAACTTTGGTGTTGCTTCTCACAGCAGTGCTAGACCTTGCGCTGAGCCTCAACATTTGGGTTCCAAGGCTACTCATGAACATCTCGACTCTGACGAGGGGCAACCCGAACTTTCACGTGCCCGCCGGCGGTGGAGCACTTTCGGACGAGGCAAGGGCAAAGCTTCTAGCAAATGTCAAAGTCAGGTTCGGGGACGCTGAAGGGGTTGATGAATCTTCTGATCTCGTCATTGGGAATTGCGTGGAACACGGGGGTCGCGTGTCTAGATTGACGAAGGGGAAACTTTACACCTGACGGCTTGACTTGAGACGGTTCGATAGAATCCATTATCGTTCGACAGAAAATACCTTACAGGCTGCTTGAGGGGTCTCACAAGAAAGATGGTGGCTTAACATAATGGGAAATGACATTTAGGTTCACTACGTTCTCCATCGTATCCCTCAATCGCCATGATGTTGTACACTAGTCCATGCTACTCTCTTTTCGAAAATAAGATAAATGTCACAGGAACGTTGGGATAGCCTTTCTTACGATCATGACTGTCTCTGGCATGTCGGTCTGTTCGGCCGTCACTACCCGGTGAGGTGGAACCTATCGGAGAGCTGTGGGAGAGCAACCTCCCGACGGGCTCTCAGGGTGCAATACCAAACCCGTGAGGGGCCTGGAAGACTCACCCAAAAAAGAGAGTTACGGGAGGCGCACCAACTACAACCATGTTTTGTCACTATTTTTGAGTCGAATCTTGGCTTCAAGGCAACCAGATGAAGTGTGCGCGCCAAATTAGGATCTTCGGTCGATTCCAGATTCTCGGTTTCGCAACTTGCACGGACACTGAAGTGCTGCCCTTCACAGAAGAGGGCGGGTTGCAGAAACCGGTGCTTGGACGGGCGCAGCTAGCGAGTCAAGACACCCTTGATGGGTTCACGTAAGACCAGAGGAAAGCATCAAATCCGGCATGGTGTAGCGGTTAGCATACTCCGCTTTCATTGAAAGTCCCGGAGAGATCCGAGTTCGACTCTCGGTGTCGGAACGCTTACATTTTTGCGCTTTCTTAGAAAGACTCGTTGCCAAATAGCAAATAACGCTTATACCGAACATCGACTCATTGATTATGTTTCCTTTTCATGACGTGGTGACTGAATTGCTGTTTTCGGTCTGTGCTGTGCGGGTGACACCGTCGAGTTGAACTCAAAATGTCATTTGCTGTACCGGTATTAGTGGCGCGAACCACATCACATGGACTCTATCTACCTTTTGGGCCTCACCCTTTGAATTTGGACTGCGCGAAAGTCTTACAACCGACATCACATATGACCTTTGAGATGACATGCTTCGATGCTAGGTATTTTCTTGTTTTTCTTCTTCTCTCCGAAAGAGGACGGCAGATGAGTTAATCACAAGCACTGATCAATTTGCCTTGTAAGTGCCGTCACTGGCCAAAACCTTCAGCATATATCTACACATTAACCAACGCCCTCTCATCCAACCCTCTCAATTACACCTCCTGGCATTAAACCCCCCACCGTAATTCGGAATCGGATTCGCGCTCACATGTCCAAAAAAGTACCGATGATACCGATTCGAATTCTCCCCGTCCGCGACCGCATAACACGACCCTCCCTTCCCCGGGTCGCGATCAATCACCTTCTTTCGCGCGCCAGGCCTCTCCTCTTTAACATCGACCGACATTTGGCAGTAACTGAAATACCAGTCCTGGCACTCTGCGACATAACACTGGTTCGTTAGGCACCGTAGGGGCTCGGTGCCGAACACGTTGTTGAAGACGTCGTACATGATCAACAGAGCTTCTTTGGTGTTTCTTTGGCCGATGCGGTTGCAGGTCCAGTCTGTTTCTCCGCGCTTTTGGAGGGAGGAGGAGGAGGTGTTGGTGGTGGGCAGATCCCATGCTAGCGGGCTTGCGTTGCTGCGATTGAGAGTGTTGAGGAGGTCTGCTGGGTGCTGGCGATGAGTTCCGTTGGTGGTGGTGTTGTTTGCTCGCTTAACAAAGGGCGTAGATCTCTTCCAACCATCGGAGCCACCTTTGGTATCGGAGCATCCCGCGCACTGGACGAAACCCCCCTGTCCCTCGCGGAACTTTGCGTTCTCAAAGAGATCTTCACTGTTCCCTCTGTCTCTGGGGACCCGGTTCCACGGACCGTCCTCGACATCTCTCCTCTCAGGATGAGAGTACGCATCTTTATCCAAGGTGCCTTGGTCGTGGACTCTCCTGACAACTTCATCCTCTCCGTCCTCGGAAAGGTCGTCGTCAACCTCAACCTCCTCGATTAACGTCCACTCTAGGTCATGTTCATCGATAACCGTCCGTAATGCCTCCATGTTGATCGGATCACCCCGCGCCACGCGCACTCTGCCCTCATCGCTCTCGGAGAAGCGGACGCCGTAAAAAGGCTTGTTACTATCGCTGCCATCGTTGTGTCTCGTGTTATAGGGCCGGTTGAGAATTTCTCTGACCATGTCTTCCCCGTCCCCTTTGAAGTCCACATCCAGAATGGTTTCTCGCTGCCGGGGAGGTGAAAGGGCCCGTCGCGGAGTACCGAGGGTGAGAGGGGCGGCTTGGAGGAGAAGTAGGCAAATGAGAGGAAAGATCTGATGGGAGGATCTTAGCCTTACTGCTTCAATGGTCTGGGGCCCCCGTCTAGACACTTACCGTTGTGCAGACTTCGAACGGATTCTCTAGCGAGCGAAGACGTTCGTTCTGTTTGAGTTGCCGTTACGGTGAAGAACAGGAGCGAACAGAGAGCGCATAAATCTAATCGAGAGGTAGGTGTTGATGGCCTTTTTGACTGATTCTGGACGAAGCAAGGATCGGATGACGGTCGTACTGCCCATTTTTACAAACAAAGCTCAGGTTAATGGCCAAGGTGCCGAGGCCAAGGGAGGACAGAAGCCTTCATTCAGAATCGTTCAGAGTCAATGAAAGTGACCAGGCCAATCTCTGCGGAGTAGGCACGACTCTTGAGCCACTCTCTCGACGAGAAGACATATGAACAATCAAGGAAAGGTGTATTGATGGTATCGAGGGATACTCTTGTATCCGGTGCGGCAAAATAGCCGATGCTCTAAATCAAAGGAACCACAACTCTCTAGCGCTCAATGGCGCCGACGTCTATGTTCTAGGTATCGCAATCCTCCTCTCGCTTTTCTTGTGAAATTACACAAACACTACATAGAACGTACAACTCGCCAAATCCTATACCAAAACCCTAGAATTTAGTTATTGGGTATCAGCTCATCCTCTGTCAATACTTCCAGCGCCTCCGAGCTGGCATTTGAGCTCGGCTGGGGCACCGATGAAGGGATAGGCTCGTAAGTCTCCTCAAGGAACACTGCGTTTTCGGTCAGCAAAGGGAGCTCCTTGTACAACACGAGCGGCATTGAATAACTTACCACCGGGCCGCACTATAAAGCTGGCCAATAAGGCCAGGCCAAACAGGGATGCAAGGAGGACGAAGATGGCCTGGTCAAAGACGCCGACGGTCGAGTAGTAAAGCGTGTTGAAGGCAATCGGGCCCAACACCCTCGAGAGAGCATGCAGAACGCCAATGGCGCCCAGAAGCTGGCCGACCTGATCCGCGGGCACATGCTTGGTGATGGCGGCTTGGATGGTCGCACTGCCGAGACCGCCAAAAGCAGTGACCATGCCAGAGAGCACGAACACGGCCTCGTTTCTCGCAAACAGGTATCCAAGGGAGCCTGTGACGTCTGAGAGTAGGGCGAAGCGGAGAATCCAGCAGTCGACGCTGTCGGCGCCGTTGTTCGCCTCGACGATGGAGACACCCGAGACCCTTCTACGGTAGGCTGCGGGCCGCACGCGGAAGACGTAGTTGACGAAGGGTAGGACAACAAGCAGCGCGACGACGCGGACCATGGAAACGGCGGAGATGTAGCGGGAGCTCTCTAGGGTGCCCCAGCCCCATGTCTCAGGGGACTCGGAGTAGAGAAGGATGACGGTGCCGGCGCTCATAGCGGAGCCCAGGAGGATCATGTCGGTGAACGAGAGCGCGGCGATGTTGAGACGCAGCCTCGAGGAGGTGCCGGGTCCCGTGGGCCACAGCGTCTTGAGGGGAGCCAGAGGGTTGGCCGCCTTGACCGTGGACCAGGTTCCGGCACCAGCCTTGGCCTCCTTTTCTTGGTTGTGCTTTTGGCGGGCGCGGAGCTGACGCTTCACGCTGAGGGACTCGGGAACGATGAATCCGACAAAGATGATGAAGTAGATGTGGCATCCCATGGTGACGTAGAAAACGGAGAGTAAGTTGCCGGTCCAGGCGGCAAAGTAACCAGTCAGAAGGGGGCCAAAGGCAAGGCCGCTGAAGAGGCAGGCGTGAAGATATCCGATGCGCACACCACGCTGAGACGGCGCGGTACAGTCGCTGGTGTACGAGTTGATGAGAACGCTACCAGCCGTGAAGGATCCAGTGAGGCCGTCGGCTACGGCGCCGAGAAGCAGCCAGTTGTAGTGGAACGTCCAGGGGAGGTTGGCACACATGATGACGATGAGCTCGGCCACGACGCCGCCGCAGGACGCCAGAGCCAGGAGTTTCCGACGGCCATAACGGTCCGAGAGCTGGCCCAACTTTGGAGCGGTGATTGCGGACAGGATGCCGGTCAACAGGTTGATGGCCAGAGTGAACATGGACACCCGCTTCTTAACCTCGGGGATGAGGCATTGCGGGTTATCCGCGCCGAGTATCACGGGTGTGAAAACGAAGGCCGGGTCCAGCGCCGTCTCATCGGCAAAATGCCTTTGACATACCAGATCGACGATTCTATGTTGCACACGAGATTAGCGACTGCGATCGGCCGCCAAGACATCACGAGATCATTTGTGACATACAGGTTCAGCTTGGGCACCAGAGAGCCTCCAAAGGCCAGCGTGAAGAGAGCATACGGGATCAGAAGCCAGAAGACCTGGCGCACAGAAAGTCAGCACGATTGTTCGGGACCACAGGGCGGCCCGAGCCGGAGACAAAAAAGAGAGAATCCTACAGAGGGAGTCCTCCACCACGGCAAATGTTCGAAATCCGCATAACCCGGCCATGTATCTTCGCAGGAGCTTTCGCCGTCGCGAGCGCCTGCGCTCAACAGCGATGTGGTCTCTGTTGCCTCGTTTATGGGTTTCCCGTGAACGTCCTGGTCCACCCGGGTGACAATGATGTCGTCTTTTGGTGCCGACATTTTTGACTATTTTGATGTTGTTATTGCTGCTCGTGCGCTGTATCGAGTTCGAGTGTCGTGTAGTGTAGCGTGCTTGGTGCAGAACACAGCACAACTGTCGCAAGTAGGTTCCAAAGACTTTTTGAGCTTGATAACTGACAGACAGAAGTGGGCGAAGTTTCGTATCGAGTATCTGTGTCTTTGGGAGGGCTGTATCGTCGAGTGTTGGCCCTATATCCTGACTTGGTCTGTATCGTTGGGGGTGAGCGCGGCAAGATGTATAGAGCGACACTGCCACGATTCCATTCCTGTAGGATCGTGTTGGACGCACACAGCAGTTAGACGCCTCTCCGAGAGTGTAACTGTCAAGTCGGAAGAGGGACCAAAGCTGGAAAGGCAGAGGGGTATGAATACATGAGCAAGGGAAGAGAAGCGCTATGCTCGGCGCAACGAGAAGTGGGAATGGGAAAAGAAATAGAAACCCGAGCTACGTAGCAGAGGACCGGGGTGCGCTGCCCACATCGAGAGATAAGGCGGGTGTGGGACAGCGATGGACGCTGGTGAAATCGAGCCAAGGGCCCGGGCGAGCGAGAGACAACTGCACGACCACACATAACCAGAACTGAACAGGGGGGCCGGCTTCGACTTTGGGTGTGGAACAAAGTGGGATGGGCCAACCTAGGTGCTAGGATGGGAATGGGATGGGATGTGTCGTGGACTCGTGGAATGGGAACAGCGCCCCCCCGGACATGGATCGTAATGTTCACTTCAGAAAGCGGAAGGTCATAGCATCTCTCGAGGCGCCAGTGATTCCTATTGGAGCGGCGTGGGGACGTTGACAAGATCAGAGAGAGACAGAGAGAGACAGAGCAGCGCAACGCTTCGTCCGGCGTCCGTAACGGCCTAAACACGTTTCGGTTGTGGCCCTTGAGGCTTGGGAGGCGTTGTATTGACGGGCCACGGGGAACTCGGGGATTCTGAAGGAGACTGGAGACCAGCAAAAAGTCCATCATATTGCGGTCATGTCTGAGAGTTTGTGAGTTGTATTGGCTGTATTGTGTGGGTGGGATTAGCCCAGCGAGGGGAACTGAAGATGGTAGTGATTTGCTTGTAAATCCTCGTAACCGAAGTAGACAGGGAGGTACTTAATTCATGGTCGGGGAATCGGGGAAGATGGACTGAGGTCTCTCAGCCTCTCTTTTCGAGCAGAATTCTCAGTAACAGACAGGATACGGTACAAGTTACAAAGACCGAGAGGAAAGGGAAGAAAAAGGTGACGACGAGACAAGACGACAGGACGCTCCCTGCCGCGGGTTGAGGAGCAACCATCCCGGGAGACGGTGGGATAGGTGCGTGCCTGCCGGACTTAAGAGTGACCCCGTGTGAGTGAACCAATCTCGTGGGACAGCAGGCGCATGAGTTGGCGTCTGCCAGGCCTATCCATGACGCAGTTTCGCAGCTTCAAGGTCGATAAGGGGGGTGCCACAGTACCTCCAGAGCCTGGGAAGTTCAGCCACAACCCAGATCTGTCAGGGCCGCCGTTGCTCTGTTGGAGGGGGGGCCAAACTCTTGTCTCTCGATGCTCTGTGTACGTACTCCCCATACCTTAGTTCACTTAGTGTAGACAACTCCGCAAGCTTGAGAAGATGATTTCTAAGCTTGAGCCACTCCCGCGCGGGCACTTTGCTCCAAGTTACATCACCAGAGTCAACTCCGCAGCCCGTCTGACGAACTATCCGAAAACAGAGTGACAGAGTCCCAACGCCCACCGGCTCGCCAGAAAGACGTTGTTAACTTTCAGCCTGTCAACTCGTCGTACCTAACCACCTAGGTAGTACCATCGCTGTCGCAGTTCAGCAGGCTTCAGATGTCCGAAGTCCGGTTTATCAAAAGACAGTCAATGAACCCTCTCGTGCGCGCGGGCGCGGGGTGCCACGTACCTAGGTAGTTGCACAAAGACATGTTGCATACACAATTCCCGTCTCCTCCCCTTTACCTGAACGCCAGCACAAACTTTGATGCCCAAAATGGCAGCACAGCAATACTTCGTCCAACACGACTCGACAAGGTTCGGTGGTCGGCATGTTTCAGCACCGACTGGCGGACCGGTCCCGCGGAACCACTCTCCTGGAAGACGCCACGCTTTTCCCTCACGTTCACTGGAAGTTTGCCCTGCTCTCTATGAATTCTGTCCAAGTTCCCCCTCTCTTTCACTGGGCTGGAAAGGTCGGCAGGTTTCGTCTCATCGTTGTCGTTATCGTATTCCGGTTTCCGATTCGGTGGCCCCTCTCAAGACAACC